TTAGTTGAAGAGTCCTGTAGGAATTAGCACAGAGAGAGTTGGAATTGAGTTTAAAGTATAGTTCATACTTGGAAGGGAGATGTGGCGATATGTACAGTATTGATATACGAGCGCCACCTATGGACGAGTGTTGTACGAAACCTTAATAAATCAGTTGTTGTTACACGCCCGCCATCTTACACGACCGGTTTCTGGAAACGGGTGCAAACCGGCCTAAATCCGCGCCTGATTTCTATGTTCTCTTTCCCTCTATCCCCCTCCATACTGTTACCTCTAGCCTGCATTCTGTTCCTCTCCAATGGGTGTTCTTCTTCCCTATGTTCAAAGCGACAATTCCTTCCATAAGGGCATGACTCTCCCCTCTCTACATACCTACATCTTTCCTGGTCACCTCTCATCATTGGCCTTCCTTGTTGACTTTGTTGACTCATTTATCCTTCTTTTGTCATTCTGGCCATGGCTAAATTTGCATCTGTACCCAAATTTACAGGGGATACCCTTCTCAAAATTCCAGCACATTCTTGGATTGTTGTTCCCATCATGAGGTGCTTCTTCCCTTCTACGTACGGGAGAGCCTTGATGTACACCATCCCGCCATTGTATTAGTGATGTGCACCATGTATTTATCTTCTTCTCTAGTCTATCATATATTTTGTCCTCTATCTCTTTATAGTCCTCTACTGCTACTATCCCTTCTTTTATGGTTTCATGGGTCGGAACCTTTTCTAACTCAATCGTCAAGCGTTGATGTGTAATTAATTATAACAATTAAATTAGGTATCTGGTAACAAATACGTGTGGGTATAGACGATTTGTTCTACAGTAAGTATGCTTACAGTTTAAAGGCCAAGACACACTGCAGCGAAAACGACCGACCGTAACGACAAACGACTTTTCAGAAAATTAGAAACTATTGTTTCCTGAGCCATTGCACACTGACGTGACGACGACCGACGACAACCTCGACGACAAAAATAATTAGGAACGTTTCTATTTTCCAGCGACTTTCGCCGGCGACACTTTACAAATGGCCAATCACAGCCGTTTCCATCGGCACGTGACATCGCCATTCTGTCATAAAATTATAAACCAATGCTAGCCAGGAAGTAGACTGGTCCCCAGCGCTAAACTCGCACCGCCTGTCAGAAATAGTGGGGCCGCGAACCCATCTTGGCATCTAACCAAAACGTGCAAGGCTACGGTCAGCCATCAGACGTGATTATTGTGTACGTTCGTATAATATGCTGCGTATATATTACTTTATTATATTATCGTTATACATAGAGCGTTTTTACAGCAATTTATTTAAAAGCAGCAGCAGGAGTTTTTTGCCGTTTGCTCATGTGTGCCACTGCCACTGGCACTGGCACTGTGGTTAGTGCTGGGTGAACTTTGTCGTTACGGTCGGTCGTTGTCGCTGCAGTGTGGCTGCGCCAGTCGCCGCAACTGTTGTCGTTTGTCGTTACGGTCGGTCGTTGTCGCTGCAGTGTGGCTGCGCCAGTCGCCGCAACTGTTGTCGTTTGTCATTACGGTCGGTCGTTGTCGCTGCAGTGTGGTACGGTGGGACAATGCAGGGAACGCAGCGACATATCGTATAGTACCCCAAGGTACTTTCCGATATATCAAACCGTATGCAGGGTACCCTCCGATATGGCTATAAAGTACCAAAGGTCATTTTATTATGAAGTAATTCAGATGTAGAGTTACACGGAAGTATTTTTCTAAGCATATTTACAATGTTCATTGCATAACAAACTAACAGTGGAAATGTGCATGTTTGACCTTTTTATCTTTACATACAAAATCTTTTAACATTATCATAAATATTTGAGATTAATCTAAATTTATAAAACCAGCAACCTAACGCAAGTTCATTCATCCTTTTTAACAACCACCGTGTACATGTGCAATTCACAGCCAAGGCGTTTATGGACAGTATCAGTAGTACTTTCCTGAAAGTGCAAAACAACAAAGTGCATCTTAGATCAGCAGCTGAGTAAATCCGTTCCTAAATAACTCTTTAACAATGCTAAATGAGTTCGACAATACATTAGTAATGGACCACAGAAGAACTATCAGCATCAATACACAATAGATAACTTCTGGAACTTGGTAAACTTCCCTCCATCGGAGAGGAAGGGGAGAGACATCCACAAGTGTTAATTGCTGGGAAATAATCTTCCTTTGTCGCCTTACTCTTAGCTACTGTTTGTGCCTCTCCTTCTGATGAGGGTGCCTCTAGAACATACCCACCAAATGCCGACACCTGTGTGGTCTTACACGCACAGTATAATAATGGTATAGCATCAAGACTGAAGATAACGATGCTCTTGTTGAATGGATACTTGATGGTAGTATATAGACGTGATTACTTACAAGTACTGTCTAACGAGGAAATTTCTTAAAAACGTGTGGTTGCACGGCACTCATATGGTGAAACATGAGGTAACAATACAAACTTTTATGTACATAAAAATCTGCCGTTTCAACACCTACCTATTTTTTTACAGAAACGACTATATGAATGCGATGTATTGCAATGAAAACACGAATGGATGTCAGGCATGTGTCATGTGATATTATGTCTTAGAATTATACCCTATATGCACAGGTAATTTATGCTATATACATGTTACACATCCACATAATCCATTTGATTACAATCTACAATCTTTACGGGATGTTTTTTTTTCATGCAAAAAGAAACAGTTCATGAGTTCTACTTAGGTTACCTAGTGCCTTTGGGGCCAAGCTTTGCTTGAATTCCTCTAGTTAAAAGATCAGGTGGATGGGAAGGTTCTGATAATTAATTTACTGAAATAGCTGAGAGGACTGAAAAGACAGTGATTTTCCACACGTGCATGAAATCGCTACCTCTCCCAGTGGCTAACGTGTCCAACCTCTACCACGACACCTCACTACTACGTCTGCTCCCTAATATGTAAACTTTTCAAATGCTGCTACGTTAAAGCCGCACAATGCGCATCCAAACGCTAATTTCTCCAGTACTAGACTAGCAAATACTTCGTGTCATGCATAATCACACTACCTTATGACAAAATAAACTATAGTTCCTCCCATTTGACTGCGCGTTCCCAACAAGAAAGAGGTGCGAAATCAGGTAATCAGGCGCCAACGCTAAATTGTTTCAAACAACATAACATCGAAGTGGTGACGTGACGTCACATGTTTTTATCTTTGCTGCGCCCGTACCGCTGTACCGCGGCACCGCTGCACGGTTGCTTGGAGATTGGTGAAACTGTCAACAACATCGGAGGTATTTTCAAAATACCTTTTATAAGACAACGCGCAGTGAAATGGGAGGAACTAGAGTTTATTTTGCCATAAGGTAGTATGATTATGCATGACACGAAGTATTTGCTAGTCTAGTACTGAAGAAATTAGCGTTTGGATGCGCATTGTGCGGCTTTAAGGATGTGGCATTTATTAGGTTACCAGACCTAACCTGGACATGGTCACACCATAATAATCCAATGTAACACTCCTGCTCCGCACGTATTACAAACACTAGAATCAGCAACGACCACAAATACGTTGCAAAACAAACTACATATGCCTTGCAGAAAGCAGAATGAATACTGAGATGTAAAAATATCTTGAAAACAAATATGTATAGCAAAGAAACTGAACAGCTGAAATTTAGATTGTGCGGCGCAAACATACGACTGTTCGGAGTGTACAAAATGCTTCCACATAGTACTCTCAGTAATGTAACAGACTTAGTTCTAGGATTGTAGCCATTATGCCCAAATAAATCGATATATGCCCTCTATACAGCTATAACATCACTGGACAAAACACGTGGTTTTTGTACATTTTTCTTCCCATAATTACAACACTTTCTTATGGCTATGGGCATTTATGCATAAATACTACTATACAAGAATTCATAAACTTTACTGCATGCAGGCGAAAGCATACTGATAAAATGCTCCTCCAAACCAAACAAACTATCGGTATATGTGCCATAGTGATGCTAACATGCCGTATTCGACCACGTATAACTCGATTTAGCATGAAGCTCTATGTTCACAGGGTGCAGTAGAAGACAGTTCAGCATTAACATGTATCACATCTCCACAACTTTGAACTCACTTGTGATATATCATGCCTCAACTTAACGTGGGTTCACCGATGGTAGATCTAGAGTTACGATGAAAACTTCATTCATACAGATGCTTGACAACGTTGACGTGTGAATTACCAATAGACCAATCTGTTGTCAACTTCAAACGTATAAGAACATACAATGTGCCAGATTAAATGTGCGTATATGGTAGTGGAATTCAATACTCGGACTAATGACGACCGATTTGACTGTCAGTCACACTGACTGTCCACTGTAGTGCTACTGGAGCCAATCAGCCCTGCTATGATGTGGTTGTGGTTGTACAGAACCGCTGCTTTCTCAGCCGGTTCAACTCGATTAGGCTCTATAACGAGAGTGGACTAACTGGCTTTTCGCCCCACTCACACCCGTGTCACCTGCTCCCGTGCAAAAGCAAGCTGCTATTTATTTTTTCCTTTCTGCTGGGCACCACCACGAGGTGGCGTCACAGGTCGTCCTGAGTTCAGACCGCCATACGGGAATTTCTTCTTATCAGCAGGCTTCAGAATCTGAAATTATTGATACGACATCATCTTCGTAAGGGTCGTACTGCTTGCATGTCAACGCAGCTGACCCCTGCTGACCAGCTCACAAATACACGTACCAGATCTGTTTTACGACAACAGTTAAATGTGCTCGGTTACTTTATCGACAATGATACAAATACAAATAGGAACCAGGAGATGTAGTGATGAGGTCAGCCAGCAATTACAGTGCGGGAGGTTGTAGAAAATAGTAACCGTGATTTCAGTAACAGTAAATTGTTACCAGTAACAGTATACAGCAACCACATTGAGCTGGAAACCGATCTATAATCCTACGGGTCGTTGGTCCTACGCTTACGCTTGCGCTTGCAAATATATGCTCAACAACCACTATCCCGATTTTGACGATTTTTGTTTACTATACAGGCGGGATACCCAGGATTGAAATCTGGTATCCAAGTCAAGAATCTACTATCCCGCGGATATCGGGATACCGCTAATTTCGACCCCTGCTTAGCTACTGTTTGTGCCTCTCCTTCTGATGAGGGTGCCTCTGGAACATACCCACCAAATGCCGACACCTGTGTGGTCTTACACGCACAGTATAATAATGGTATAGCATCCAGATGAGACGGGATACCAGAGAAGTGTTGCCGAAAGGAGGTGTTGATCCTAACCACTCAGCGCGGATCTTGCACGCGACAGCGGGAACGTCCTACGACAGTATGCAGCGCTGGCAGCTATGGATCCGTGCGCCGAATGCATAGGCCGGCGCACGGATCCATAGCTGCCAGCGAACAGTCCGGAATTTTAGCGGGGGACACAGAGGGCAGAGATTTGGGACGTGGGAGGAATTCGCGACTTAGATGGGGGGTCGTACAGATGGGAGGCGACAGCGAAGCTTTTGATTTCGCGGCGGTTGCATTTCCGTGTGGTGTTAGGAGTTTTCACTATAAGTTCCAAACATAAAAAGTTGCAAACATAATAAAAATCGGACCATTATTTAAGGCCATGAGAATTGAGGTATGAGTTTACCGTCCGAGATATTTTGAAAAGTTAGGAGGCTTTTTTTCATTTTTCATTTTTCATTATTTCCAACTGTACCATTATTACCATTTCCAACTGTAATATCCGCACGATTCCGGATCGATTACTGTCTGTATGACAGACAGTACAGTTACCAGATTATGTTACTGTCATACAAAGTCACAGTTACCATTTTATGCTATTGTCATACAAACTCCGTTACCATATTAAGTGGTATGTGGTAACTGTGACTTTGTAAGACAGTAACATAATATCAGAAGTAGATAATAGGGTTTCACTATAGGGATTCCCTATTATCTACGTCCGATAATATGGTAGATGTGTTTGTATGACAGTAACATAATATGGTAGATGTGTTTGTATGACAGTAACATAATATAGTGGATGTGTTTGTATGACAGTAACATAATACAGTGACTGTGAGTTTGTATCACAGTAACATAATATAGTTACGATGCTGCTCTCCAGATTTCAGTAAATATAAACACCAAGTTTTATATATAATCGCAGCAATATCGGCAATGGTTACTATTTAACATAACTGTGAATTTGTACAATAGTAACATAATATGGTTACTGTGTTGTTTACTAGATTTCAAAACAAAACAATATATTATGTTGCCTTTAAACATTACTATATCAATTTTTGCACTGAATATGCAAATTTTCTTATCAACCAGTCCACAACAATAATATTTATATCAAATTTCAGAAAAATCGTGATGCAGTTACCATTTCATGTTACTCATAATAATTTATGGTTCTTCGTTACCATATTCTACAACATCCCGCACTGAATTATGTATCCTAGGAATCCTAAGACTGCAGCCAAGGTAGAGTGAGTGTTTGCCACAGGATACGACTCTGCGACAGAACATCAACGTCTAAATAGATCAGCGTACCTGAAATGAGCACATGAGTGTGTCGTCGACGGTCATCATGGCACCCGCATTGTCAAACTCCCCGCAGTAGTTGGGAGCTGAGAAGAGCGTAACTAGCTGCCTCTTGGCAAAGAACTCATAGCCATCTTCCACCACCTGCAAAAATACACATACACAAATAGATTCAGTTGACTATGTCAGAAAGGATGACCAAGGCCACCACCTTTGCAAGGAATCTTTCTGAGTTTCACCCGATCTCCCCTGATGCTCCTTGAATATTTCATCTGTTTCAGCCAAAATAACTCATCTGATTTTTGATGTTCTATGCATATCTCACTTGTTGCTCCCTGCATATTTTGCATGATACTCTCTGCATCTGGTCTGTTGTCTCTGTATATCTCATCTGTTGTTCCCTGCATATCTTACATAATACTCCCCACAAGTCTCACCAGCAATATCTGGCATATCTCCTGTTCCTCCCTGCACACACCTCATATAATATTCCCTGCATATCTCACATGATGCATTGTGCGCACCTCACCTGATGTGCTCTGCATATCTCAATCGATACGCTCTGCACGCCTCACCCGATACTCTCTGCATATCTCACCTGATGCGCTCTGCATATCTCACCTGATGCGCTCTGCATATCTCACCTGATCTGCCCTGCATATCTCACCTGATGCGCTCTGCATATCTCACCTGATGTGCTCTGCATATCTGAACCGATACCCTCTGCACGCCTCACCCGATACTCTCTGCATATCTCACCTGATCTGCCCTGCATATCTCACCTGATGCGCTCTGCATATCTCACCCGATACCCTCTGTACGCCTCACCCGATACGCTCTGCACGCCTCACCTGATACTCTCAGCATATCTCACCCGATACTCCATGCATATCTCACCCGATACTCCCTGCATATCTCACCTGATGCGCTCTGCATATCAGATCCAGGTCGTGCTTGTGCAGAAACTTGGCGACAACCTCCGGGCCGAACGTGAAAGACACACCGCGATCGTTCTCTCCCCAGCCCATCACCTCCTTGTCGGGATCGGACCAGAGCAGGTCGCAGAGCAGGCCCTGGTCCGGCACGTCCGTCGGCCGCATGATCCGCCGAATCTGCTCCATCGACTGCAGGTCCGGACTCAAGCCTGCAAGCGAGCATGCACGCAGCGCATCGCACGGTCATAGTGCCACCAGGGTTTCTTATACATAAGAGGCACAGTGGCGGACTGCCATTGTCAAATTTAACATCGTCATTGTGAAAATGTTCCTGTACTTAGTGACAAGTATATCCTGTATCTATGTACCTATAAGTATATCAATACATCCTGTATTTGAATCTATCATACGTGTGCGTTTTTTTCCCAAACTGGCCATTACCTCCTTTGTCTAATTTTCCCTCAGAAGAAACCCTGGTCACTAACATGCTGCCAGTAGCAGGAAGCAAGGCAAAAGATCACGCGACTGAAACCCGGAGATGTAATCTATTATTAGCTCCCACGGTCACCTTTGTCTATGACAGTCTAACTTCTAAGCCAGCTACTGCATTTGGTTGTGGCTGTACATTGCTGCTACACTGTGAGATATAAGTTTAAGACCAACACACAGGATGATGAGCTGACACTTTTTGAATTTTACACAGATTATTAAAGGAAAACTTCAATATAGACTAATGCGGTGATGCAGCGTACAGCCTAATGCGGTGATGCAGCGTACAGCCTTATAAACATTCTCAGAGTATTCTCATGCCTTTAGCTATATCTTAGAGATGAATTAAATTAAATTGTAGATTAAGATCTAATATATATTATTGAATCCCGCTCACCTCCATGGCAGCAGAAAATCTTTTCGTCAACAATAGCTGATACTGGTAAACAGTTGAAGCAGTCCGTAAATGTCTTCCACAATCTTATGTTGTAGCGTCTCTTGCCTATTGGGCAAAAACAAAAATCTTAAATTACTCTCAGAAATGTTCATTCTCATACAACGTACTAAACGCAAGAAACGTGTTAGTATACGACTATAAACTCCTAAAATTTACGGCAGGCTACCGGGCGCGCAAATCCATTTTGAAATGGGGGGGGGCAGGGCTCGACTTTAACGGTGGCCCGGGTGCCAATGGCCACCTGAAACGGCGTCGGGCCACCTGAAACTGTCGGGTTGGTGGCCCGCCTGGCCACCAATAAAAATAAGGCCGTGGCTACGCGACCGGTTCCGGATGAGGAGCCGCTAGGCTACGCGTCCGGTCATCCATCTCACACAGAGATCTTGCGACACGTACACGCATGATATCGCAAGGGGACGCTCTGCTGATTGCCGAGTGTCCGAGTGTGTGTGTACGTGTGTGTGTGTGTGTGTGACGTGTGTGTGCGTGTGCGTGTGCGCGTGTGCCCGTGCGCGTGCGCGTGCGCGTGTGCGTGTACGTGTGGTTTACTGGAAGCAGATTCTGAGAATGTGAATCGCAACAAGAAACAATGCTTTACTTGGCCTAAATCCAGATTCTGAGAATGTGAATCGCAACAAGAAACAATGCTTTACTTGGCCTAAATCAAAACAGTAGCGCACGTGCAATCCATTCGCTACCCATCAGCTGTGTTGGTTCGTTGCGCAATTCATTTCTCCACGAGTTCAAGACAAGTGCGTACATACCATAGTGTACATGTATAGAGAGGGGTGTAGGGATGATACACTAGCGACAGGGAGGGTGTAGGGGGGAGGGGTGTAGGGATGATACACTGTAGAGACAGGGATGGTGTAGGAATGATACACTGTAGCGACAGGGAGGGTGTAGGGGGAGGGGTGTAGGGATGATACACTGTAGCGACAGGGAGGGTGTAGGGGGAGGGGTGTAGGAATGATACACTGTAGAGACAGAGGGTGT